GTGTGTGTGTGTGTGTGAGAGAGAGAGAGAGAGAGAGAGAGAGAGAGAGAGAGAGTGTGTTAATGGAAGATTCTAGCAGAGATTTCCAAAATTGGTTATTGGCACATAGCAACACAATGAAAGAAAAAGGTGGATGCGAATGGTGGTGTGAATTATTCCTCACCTGGTTCCCTCCCCACAAGTACGAGAGAGCTGAGAGGTCTCCTGTGATGGGGTCCCAGGAAGCCTGTAGGTAGCTCTCTCAGGCAGCTCTTTCTCTGGTCTTCCCTGTCTCCCCAGCCCTCCTCCCAGCCCCCGCAGCAGGAAGCAGCTCACACCCTTTGTGTTGGTGCAGAGGCTGCAGCTGCAGCCACCTGCCTTAGCACTAGCCTGGTTTAAAAAGGAGAGATGAAGAATATCAGCTCTCTGATTGAAATGGCAGGGGAACGAGAGAGGCAGAAATGTAATTACCTGAGCTGGAATCGGACCAAGCCACAGGGGCCCGCCTCACTTTCCCCAGCCTCCTCCAGAGCTCATTATTTGCAAGTGTGTCCCCAAAGCAATTCTGAAATAACACAAGGAATCAGAAATTGTTTTCTGAGCTAGCATGGGGGTGCACGGAGGTGCCCATGTGCCGTGTGAGTCGTGTTCAGCACATTGAAGCACAAGGAAAGTGAGGGGCCGGTATGTCCTGAAACAGGGATGGGACAGCTGTGCCCACCCACATGGAAACCATGCTGCACAGAGGACAGGGAGAAGACTTGAGGGGCCTGTTCTTTCCTCCTTCTATTCTCTGAGGCCTCTCTGGGTAGAAAAGGAGTCACTCCAAGAAGAAAGCTGCCAAAGCTTGGTGGCTATTGAATTTGAGTCCAGCTGCATAGCTACTTGCCCCCAGGACAGGATGGCACTGAGGTGTGCCATCACTGTTGTGCTTCAGGATCCACATTCAGACTGGCACACCACCCTGTGTGGACCTGGACCCTGACCCTGGCAGGGAGGGCAGCCAAGGGTCTACCTCTCCCTCCCCTTGCAAAGGGGAGAAAGCCAAGGGCCAGCTTGCTAGAGTCTGATGTGACCATTCATCTAAGGCCCAGTCTGTGCCCAAGCCATGCCAGCATGAAACATGATGAATCTGGTGACCATTTGTCCTGTGGCCTTATACTTCCATGAGTGTAAGCCAGGACAAGATAAAGTGAGTGACAGAATTGCAGTGGAAGCGAAGTCAGGGCCTGTCTATGTCCCACAGTGACTCTGAAGGATCCTGAGTATCTTTTGTTGGTCCCAAACAGTGCCCTTCAGTGGTAGGTGGGCAGGCTTAGGGTATGCCAGGTTGCAATAAGGTGCTCTTATTACAAAAGGCCAGAGAAATGGGATTGACCTTAGCAAGGACAACTTTAACACCCCCATCTCATAAATTTAGGGGCGAATACTGGACATGTATGTACATGTCTCTTAATACTTCTTGCTAAGAGGTGAGTTTTTTTAAAGCCAATCTGTATAATCATTCCTCAGTATCCACAGGGGATTGGTTCCAGGGGATATGCCTCTCAGATACCAAAATCCACAGATGCTCCAGCAAGTCCCTTAGATAAAATGGTATAGTAATTGCATATAACCCATAACCATCCCCAAAGTTTCAATCATCTCTATACTGCTTACGATGTCTAACACAATGCCTGCTTGTTTTACTCATATGGATTCAGCATAGTACTTGGTAGGTAGAAATTCAAGTTTTACTTGTTGGAACTTTCTGGAATCCCTCCTCTTCCATATTTGCAGTTCACGGTTGGTTGAATCCATGGAATGGGTGGATACAAAGGGTTGACTGTGTTACTGGAGGCTGTTGTGATGTGTTCCCAAGCCCCACTGATGACCCACCTTGATGCTTTATGTTTCTTGCTGAAGGTTACAAGCATTGATCACCAGGTGGCTGAGTCTAGCTCCGGGGACCCAAACACCACTGCTGGCTTCAGCACACCAGGTAATGTTCATTCTTAGTATCTGAAGCACTGTTGCTATTTTTCAAGGATCTGTCTTTTTCTCCTGTTTTCTTCTCTCCTCTTCTTCTTACTCCTGCTCTCCATTTTTTACTCATTATAGGGGTGGAATTTGCTATAGCCTTTTCCCTTGGTACTCTAGAAATTCTCCACATTTTTTTCCTCTAACCTTCATCCTGTAAGTCAGGATTCCTAGAAGACCTCACGCTTTCTCTGGGAAGCACTCAGGAAGCACATAAGTCCAGCAGGTTTAGCTGCAGAAAAGATAATTCCCACCAGATAATTAACTACTGCATTGGAGTGAGGTTGGGTTGAGATTCTTTTTATGACCTGTACATATCCAGTTGCTCCAGGCCGTTTCTCATTTTTGCACTTTAATGGCACCATAATTAAGTTGGACATCACATCGTTGTGTGGGTCTATTTCTGGGTTCTCTATCCTGTGTCTTTGATCTGTGTGTCTGCCCCTGTGCCCACACTACACTGTCTTCATGACCATAGCTCTGGAAGAGTAGTGCCCCGACTTGATCCTTCAAGACAAGATTGTTTTAGCTCTTCTAGGATCTGTACTTTCCATTTTAGATTTTAGAATCAGCTTATCTGTATCTTCAAAAATCCTTGTTGGGATTTCAATAAGAACTGTATCAATCCTCTAGAGCCATTTGGAGAGAGCTGACATCTTTCCTACACTGAGCCTTCAAATGTACAAAGTATATCTCTAATTCTCATTTTGTAATTTTCACCATATAAATCCTATCTGTGCTTTGTTAAGTTTACAGTGGGGCATTGGTTCCAGGTCCCCTCTTGGGTACCAAAATCCAAGGATGCTCAAGTTCCTTATTTAATTGGCAAAGTATTTACACATAACTTGTACATATTCTCCCATATACTTTAAATCATTTCTAGATTATTTATCCAACCCAAATAAATTGTAATAAATAGCTGTTACACTGTATTGTTTAGGAAAAAGAGAAAAAAGTCTATATGTGTACAGTACAATTGAAAAAAAATTCCATCTACAACTAGTTAAATTCATAGTTGGTAGACCTCATAGATATAGAGGGTCAACTTATACTTAATGTATAGTTAAGTGTTTCATATTTTCAGATTAACTGTAAATGGTATTGTAATTGTAAGTAGTTTTTAATATTTTTCTGCTTGTTCATTGTTCATCTGTGTGATTGTGTGATATAAGTGTGATTCATTCTTGTATGATGACTTTGAATCTTGCCATCTTGCTAAACTTATCAGTTCTATTTTTTTCATAAATTCAAAGGTTTTTTTCCCATTTATTAAAACAACAAAGTAGTGATGAGGAATGGATGCTGGCAAGGCCACAGGAAGCCACTACTCATAGCCACTACCGATTGGCATCCAATACATCGGCCACCCATATTTAGGGCTCTTTATCTAAAATACTTTACCAAAAATGTGTTTGTTGTTAGATGTAGTGATCTCAATTCTGTAGCTGGCCGAGGGGAGTAATGCAAGCAAAGAAAAGTACAAATGAAGATGGTTGTTTACATTTTTCATTACAGTGGAAACCCTGGGGAACAATGAAGTACATTAATAAGAGTGAAAAAAAACCGTTGCATATGATAAATACATTGTTATACATTAATTAAGAAAATGCTTGTGGTCTTTTGTTTAAAAATTTAGAGGTCCATTAGATTATGATGTCCTCAAAGCAGGCCCACAACACAACTCCGGGTGAGAACGGGCAAAAATGAGCATAGCAGTCTGGGGCAGGAGCCTCTCCTGGAGTGTTACCACAGATTTTTAAGTTTCTGGTAATTCTGTGTATGCAGAGGGTAGGTCATATTTGTCCTAAGAAACTCAGTCAGTGTATTATCACTGATGCTAAGAGAATTGAGATCAAGAGGAATCAGCTGGCATGAATGTAATTAACATAATTTTGAAATGGAGTTTTGATTGCATTAATAAATAGAGTTTCTGGGATTGAAATTTTCTAATGACATATAAAATGTTTTTTTTTCCTTCTACATGATCTATTCATCTTTGAGCACTTGCTCAATTATGTCCTGGGATAAATTCCTGAAAATGAAATTGCTGAGTCCAAGGTAGTATATATTTTAGATTTTAATATATTGGCTAAATTGCATTCTGGAAAGGTCATATTACTAGTTTATATATCTACCAACAGCCTATGAGGCCTCAGGACATGGTCACTCCTGTTGACCATTGTCACCCTTCCAGGTCAAAGACCCATACACAATTTCTATGTTTATAACTTTTTATGTTTATTGCCCAATCATAGGTCTGATTTTGATTGATATGTTCTCTTTCAGTGTTTTTATTTTTGAGATTTTGTTTGTGTAGATTTATAAGAGAAAACATTTGTTAAGTGCAGACATAAGAAAATGTGAAGGCTCACACCTTTCCTATTTGTGACAGGTGTACCCCCTCAGTTTCTGCTTTACTTTACCCCCTGTTAGCGACATCCTGTTCCATAAGCAAGTTTACAGTTTTATTTTTGTTTTCAAATTTTTCCTTCAGGATTTCTATCATGTTACAAAGTCTCCACTCCAAGGCTGTAGATTTGTTTTCATCTTCTATTTTTATAGTATCTTTAAAATAAAAGGGTAATCTTCCTGGAGATTTTTTTATACAGTGTGTGAGGTACTGTTCATATTTTTCTATTTTCCCAAATGGACTACAAATTGTCCCCAAGCATTTACCAAGAGGGAAGTAGTGGTTAAGCAAGAGTACTCTAGAATCTTCCACCCGGCTCCACATCTTGGGGCTATGTAACCTCTTGACTTCCATCCCTAAGCCCATGTCTTTCTATGGAATGGGGGTAACCTGGCATTGCCTCATAAGTGGATAGTGGGGACTAAGCAGGAAATTAGCTCCCAAAAGGGGCTGTGGCCCCAAAAGCCCCAGCAAGAAAAAAGGTCACAGACAATGGATAACATGGAACATAGAGAAACAGAGGCCTCCCAAGGAAAAGGATGGAAGGAACAGACACCCAAAAGCCTCCCACGAGGAATCTAGGCTGTTGTGACAAACCATGTGTCTCTAAGCAGGCGGCACATCTTGTAGTATGTACACCGACGCTGAAAGGGAACCTTGAAGGCAGCTGGTACTTCAAAAAGAATGTGGATCTGGGCATGGTGGTGCACACCTGTAATCCCAGCAGCTTGGGAGGCTGAGGCAGGAGGATCACAAGTTCAAAGTTAGTCTCAGCAATTAAGTGAGTGAGCCTCTCAGAAATTTATTGAGACCATCTCAAAATAAAAAATAAATTAATTAATTAAAAGGGCTGGGGTTATGGCTCATTCTTTTTTTAATATATTTTCTTTCATGTACTTTGTTTTATATATCTGTAAAAACTCAACAAAAATGTATGGATGGAATATACTTGGTATTTTAATTGATCTAATATTTCAAGAAATGCTTTGGTATGGACATCTGATCTCTCCTAGCTGAACTAAAATCATGATAACAAAATAAAAAAAACATACACCAAGATGTTTCTTTATGATAATGTGAGTTGCTTATGTCTTAGAAAACAAAATAAATCAACTTTCATGTAAACATCCATTAATATCAATATTGTTTTCAGTAACCAGCCACCACTATGTAAGAATGCCTTGAATTTTATTGCAATAAGAATGGGAGACTGAAGAAAAAGGTGTTCCTAATTATTAGAAACAACATGTATCATGTAACTGCTCACATGTCTCCAGAAGCTTGAAATCATTTACCATGTTTTATTAATACACCCTCTTAATATCATGTACTTATTGCATTTCATGTATGTAAAGGACTTACATGTGTTATCCTTTTAGGATGCTTATTTAAGATAGAGAGATACATTATAATGTTCACTTTGCAAGTGAAGACACTGAGGCTCAGAGGATTTTTGCAATATATGGCTCAGTTCTTAAATGCCCCTGGGCTCAAGTCCCAGTATCCTACCCCCAAAAAAGGTAGATCAGTACTACTCTGGCTTTCATGTTTGTGCAGGTCCCTAGGGGGTCTTGTGAACACAGAATCTCATCTGCCCCCTGGATGCCAGCCTTGGAGTGATAAGGGGGCAGGAGCTAAGACCTGACTGGCATTGCTTGTCCAGAATAGCAGTTCTCAGTTTAAAGGGCATCCACTTTCCATGGAGCGCCTCTTCTCACCTGGATGGCCGGGCTCACCCCCCACAGTCTCTGATTCTGTTTGGCTACGAGTTTGAATTTCTTTCTTTCTTATTTTTGTTTGTTAGTTTTTTGGGTTTTGTGTGTGTGTTTTGGTGTTGTGCTGTGGATGGAACCCAAGGCCTCACACATGCTAGGCAAGTGCCCTACCACTGAGCTGCACCCCCAGCTCCAAGTTTGCAGGTTTGACTTGTCCCCAGGTAAGGTGAAAGGCCCAGGGATTTCTTTGAGAACTAAGGTAGATATTGAGTGGGTTGGGTTTATCCTGCCCGAATGACCCAGGGGCTGAATTCCAGGTCCCAGGTTGCACCTCCTATCTGGAATGGGGAGATTCTCAGGTCCCTAGGGCCTGGCTGGTGTACAAGGTCTCCCTCAGAATTCTCACTCTTCAATGGTCCCTGCTCATCAAGCATCCTTTGACCAAGTATCTGATCTCTGATTTCTAGTCTCTTATGGGGTGTGGAGGACCTGAGTACCTTGTATCCCCTTCCTAGAATTCTCCTTGAAAGGTCATCTGGTACCCCAAACCTTTCAACATCAGACAGCAGTGTTGGACCACCTGGTCCAGTGTTCCCATGCTTCTAAGATTTCAGAGTTTATTTAGGTTTGGGGTTTAAAGGGCAGATGCTGTCCCTGTCAGGGTGACCCTGTGGTCATTTGCATTTATGCTGTGCTCATTCTCTTGTAGTGCCAGCCAGCAGCGCAAGCCTCCCAACGTCAGATGGAGCAACCTCACTGGGTCCAAGCCAACCATCCCCCGACGACACCGCAGGCACCTCACCGCCCCTGCCACCTACCCCAGGCCCCCTGGAGGCTACAGGTGTGAGCATGCAGGCACAGCCAAGTCCTGGGCGTGTGGCCCGCTCTGCCAGTGACCCTACCTCCTGTGCATCCAGTGAGGCAGGTATGGCTGGCTGAGCCCATCTGTGTCCCCAGGGTGTGTCCTGGACACTGAAGGTCTCATAACCTCTGAAAGTGAAGACCCAGCTCTGGGAAGTTGGGGAACACAGTCTGGATGTCTGAGACTGTAGCTGAGTGCAGGTAGCGGTAGCCTGGGGGCCTGTGCTGTGTGAGCAGAGGAGGAGGGATGCAAGAGCTTGGAATGATGGGAGTCCCCCCAGCAGTCATCCACTCTGGGGTTAGCTATGAGTGTTGCACACTTGCTCCAGGGTCCAGGAAGGGTCAAGATTCAGGCTAGGACAGGGGACCTCAGGTGAAGTCTGTGGGTAAGTGGCATGTCCTCTGCCTGGAGTCTGGGGCAGACCCAAATTTGTTCTTAGCAGCACTTTATGGCCCCCTTGGTAGTCTTCCACAGGCAGTCTGGAGTGTGAGTGGAGTCCCTGTATGACTGTGTGAGTGGACACCAGCCTGGGCTGTAAGACTGTGTAAGACACAGTCCCAATGTCCACAGCCCTGTGGGACTTAACATTTCACACAGGCTCCCTCAGAAGTCTTATGGCCCCTGATGTGGGAGAACCCATGCCCATCCTCGTTGCTATGGGAAGGCCTGCATAGTGTCAGTAAAGATTGGTGTGCCTTTTGACTATGGTTCCATCACAGTCAGAAGATTTTCAAAAACGGCTGTGAAAGAAGAAGTCCCAGTATGACTGCACCTGTCTTGTCTCAGTGGTCTTGTCCAGTGGACCCCCAAATAGCCTAGAGTTCATCCAGACAAAGAAGAAAGAAATCCTGAAAAGGAACCAGGAAGCCACACCAGTCAAGCCTGGAAGCATCCTCCTGGTTGAAATGTCTTATTTTGCACTTTGTAATGGGTTCTCTCCACCTCTCTTTATCCTTCCCTCCCACATGCAGTTGCTGGCTTACATAAGAACATTCCATCTGAATTTCCTGAAAAAGTCCAGCTCTGCTAGTTCATTCAGAGATTCTCGGCTTCCCTCTGCCCTGTGAGGGCCAACCCCTGAGCCTCCATGCCCACAGTCACTCACTGAGGATTGGGGGACAATCCTATGCACTTGGGGGGGGGAACTCAGGGATGTGTTCAGGATGTGGCCCTCTGCTGACTTCCTTTGGCCTGTTCCCCCTCAGTGAAATGAATGGTCTGCAAATCATGACATCCAAGGGGTGGCAATGAGGGAAAATCCAATCACCATTTCTTTTCTGCGTCCCACACACCAGCCCGTTGCTTCTGGCTCCTCTCAGCCACATGAGACTGTTTCTATTCCATAGGACAAAGGCATGTGTCTGATAGTCCCTGGGGAACCTCAGATTCAGAGGCAATTCTGATGAAGAAAGAGTTCAGGGCTTGTGTGAGGAGTGTTGTAGGTCCCGGGTAGGAGGACCTGGACACCCCCTGAGCCACAGTGGGCCTGGTGAGATGCATGGCTGCTCCTCTTTCATCCATGGACTGGTTTGTTCCTGCTTGTCTGGCATCTAAAATATATGTGTTAGCCACAGGCAGGCTGAGATAGTTTTATCAATAATTCCTTTTTCCCTTTCATGTGTTAACTGAATTCTCTTCTGGTTAAGATGCCTCTTCACACTCTGCCTCGTGCAGCCAGGACCTTGAAACAAGACTGTCTCGGGCTACTCTGGGGACAGGTGGGGTAATTCTTTTCTAAAATGCTTGACATCTACCTGCTGTGAAGTAGGGGTATGAGTTAGCTGCATTAGGTCCTTAGTTGCATTGCCTCTAAATTCAGCTCCCCCCAATGTCACCTGGGAATGTGTTTCCCTCTCTCTCTCTCTCTCTCCCCCCACCCTCTCCCTCTCTTCCTCTCTCTCCCCCCTCCCTCCCTCTTCCTCTCTTTCGCTTTCCCTTTCTTTCTCTGAGTGCAGCTGTATCAGGGGCTATAACTAGTTGAATATGCATATGGCTGCTTATTTTACTTTATTGATGGCATTTTAGGGAGTTGATTTGGAGGTTTTTTACACTTTTTCATGTTTAATTCCTGGGCTTGCTCATTGCCATCAAAAAGACCCCAGAACAGTTCATTCAGAATATGTCTCCTTGGAATGACGTAGAGAGCTTTGAGCAAGTTGGGCCTTGATGTGGTCCTCCATGAGTGGATCTCAGCTGACTGCCTGGGCCTGGCTTTGTCCAAGGTGCCATCTGACCCATGCTTATTCTATATATGATGCATTGTAGCTGATAGTCAGCCCTGTGGGGAGCTGGAGCCATTTTTCCAGCCCCTGACCTGGTAGGCAGAGGGGGAAGGACCCTGAAAAGTGGCTGCTCTCTATGACTGACATAGTGGAGGGGGTCTCATTGCCCCTCTACCACTCCCCAGCTCTGATTTTAAGGCAGACCCTGTGTCTAGGTGCCACAATTCTGGCCCAGCAAGTGATCAGACCCAGAGGGAAAGGTCATGGAGCTGGGGAAGGCTGAGAAGGGCATTGGCTTAGGAACTCTGGCTGTGAGGCAGATAAAACCGCTCCCCTGCCCAGCACCTGCCTTTCTTCTTCCTGGCCTACCTCGCATTTTGGCCCCCATTCCTAGTCCTTCAGCTCTGGGAGGCTGCAGCCCTCAAGGTTAATACCAGCTTAACCTTGGGCTGAGAAGGGAGGGAGGGACACAGGAAATAGGGCCATGCCCAGATGCCAGATCAGAAACAAGAAACCCAGCAGAAAGCATGTCCACAGCATGATTCTGTTGCTTTGTAAAGAACTCAACAGATGACTTTTGTTGTTTTGTTGTTTTTTTTTTTTTCCTGGTTGTTTTCAAATTGCCTCTTTTCCCTTGATTTTTAGTTTCCACATCTCGCTCAGTCATGGCTACCTATCAGCACCAGCTCTCACCCTCCAGGGACCCTGGGACCTGGAAAACTGACCAACAATCAAAGCCAGAGGCCTTACAGATGGTCTCGAAAGTGCGGCCACACTCTTTAGTGGACAGCAAGGCCTATGCAGACACCAGGGTTTTGGTGGCTAAGTTTTTGGAACACTCGAACTGTGCCCTCCCTCCAGAGGTGCGGCATGTGGTGGGCACCATCCACTCTGCAGTCACCTTGGAGGAGAACCCGGTAGAGGAGGCCGTCTTTGGTGCTGGAGTCCTGGACCAGCTATGAAGCCACCAGAAGTCTGGACGGGACACTGACGGAACTGGTGTCAAGCACAGCCTTTTCTTGCCAGAAGATACCATGCTTGACTGGGAGGAGCCTTTGGCCCAGCTTGGCAGAGGACAAATGGAGACCACCCGGAAGTGTTATTCCTTCTCTTGAGGTGGCCCTGATCAATGGTCTTCTTGGGAACTGCATTTGTTACCCATTCCAGTACTTCGGAATGATGATTCTCTTGTGTCCTTAGTGAATTTGTTTTCATCAGGCATGTAGCACTTTGAACTGACCAGCGTGACGTGAATGCCGATACATGACAGGTGACATTCATGTCACTGAGAGACACTATATCTCCTCCAAATCAGGGCCATGAAAGCAGGATTCTCCTCCATCCCCAATGTAGTTTAGTATTAAGTGGATAGAGGATGTCATTCCGTCATGGGACTATTTTCCCCTGTGGTTCGTATCTCTCTTTAATGAAACCTTTATCCTATTACAGCCTATTGTTTCCTTTAAAAGGAAATAAGTAACTTCAGCACAGGTGGCACCCTGAGCCCAGCTCTCTGCCCACAGGGCTACAGAGCTATTGTGCAAACAAATCCACCGTGGTGGGATTCACCATGGCCCTGCCACCCCTGGGAAGCAAGAAGGTATTGCAAGGGCTTTAAGGCACCTGCCATCTTCTTGTCTCCTGGACCTCTCAGCTGGGCCTCCGTCTGTGAGCTGCCATCCCCGCTTTCTCCCTAGGCTCCCCTTTCTCCATGGTCCCCTGTCCTTAAACCAGAGTCAACAAATAACAGTAAGCACCTTCCCCTTGTATCTAAGCTCACCTCACTGACCTGGGTTGGGCACAGGGCCCCTTTCTCCAGGGTGTGTATACCTCCTGCTAAAGCATGACCCAGCACTATCCTTCCCCCAGCCAGGTGGCAGCAGGTATATCTGCATTGCATATTTCTATGAGAGCTCTCTCTGTGTTGGTCATGCAGAAGCAGCAAGCCCAGCTTGGGTCCAACTCGATTGCCTTTGGCCAACTTGGGCACCTTTGACTTTCTTGCCCCACCCTTGCCCCTTGTTTTCTGGCAACATCAGCTGCAGTCACTTCTCAGCAATGGCCCTAGAGCAGCACTGTCCACAAGAATTTTCTTTGTGCAGGAAACACCTGTACCTGGACCATACAAAACAGTAGTCACTAGTACATAGGGCTGTTGAGTCCCCCAACTGTGGCCAGTGGTTCCTGCTTTGGGCAAAAAGCTTACCTTTGTGCCTGGCACAGCAAGTGCAAAAGATGGGCCAGAGGGTACCCACCACTGCTCAGTGCCTGGCTAGGGGTTCGTGATGCTCTTCTCTGTTCTGCATGGCCTGTGCCTATTCTTGAGCCCCCCCCCCCACCTCAATATCCCGCATTCCATCCCTCAGCCTCTAATTGCAGTTCATCTAATGTGCTGGGGGCACTTCTCTGTGTTTGGATGTGGGGCAGGGGGTAGAAGGAGGGTTCCAATACAAATATGGTATAGGAACCCCCCCCCAGCCAGGGTCAGCTGCTAATGGTTTGATTGCTTTGCCAATGTCCTTGGTTGCTACCTCCCTGAAGTTACTGAGCTCAAAATATATGAATCAGGCCTTTTGACAGCAATCTTCCTTTTCCACAAGAGACATACTAGAGATGAGTTTATGAGCACTTTATTCAGACTATGAAATGGAAAATCTTCTCTAATTTTTCTCAAGTGAGGGCTTTTGAAGCAGTCCCTTTGCAGGTAAAGTTAATTGATAGTTTTTCAGAATGGCTTCCCCTGAGCCATGGGCAAAGCAAAGTATTTACATCCTGATGTCCTAGTCCGGGGATAGCAGTATTTTCACGGTCTCTGAGGTGAGCCAGAGCATAGCCAGCTGTAGGCAGGGTGGGGGGGGGTGCCTGCTGGCAGGGCAGGCAGTGGCAAGTGGGGGGTGTACACAGCAGTGTCCCTGAGCCCTGCCACTGGCTGGGATAAACCATGCAGACCTCAGACCTGCTTACAGTCTGACTGAGGCCAAGACTACGTCCCATGACACTGACTCAAGCTCTGGGGTATTTTTATTGTGCAGTAAGGGGACAAGTCATCCTCGTGTTCTGTGTCCTTCACTTTGCCTCTCTGCAACAGGGCCTTATCATCTGTCATTTGGGTCTCCTGCCTCAGGCTGTACCTTCCTTCAAGCATAGACTGACGTGCTGTCCTAAAACCTTCAGTCCCAGGCATTGTTCAGAAAGTGCCATCCACACACATACCCACTCACACTCAGTTCTGTATTTGCTGTCGTAACAACTCTATTTTGTGGATAAAGAAACTGTATCCAACTGGATGCCACTTGGCTAGAACCTTCTGCCTCATGGAAACAAGCCTGGCCCCTCCTCTCAAGGCCAGGTTGACCCACACGAACACTGGGAAGGCCAAAGCTCCAGGCTTCCAGGAAAGATCCCCAGAAGGCACAGCGGCTGGTAAGGCGCACTTGGGAGTGTGCTGGCAACTTCAGCTCTGGTCCCGTTGACCCAGTTCAGCGACATCCTGGTGGTAGCAGTTCCAGCAGCAGGCCTCCAAGGCTCCAAGCAGCATGTGGGCTCTCAGCCAATGGGAGAGCTGGCTTCCTGCCCTTTGCTGTGCATCCTTTCCATCTGGAAGCTTATTCTCCTGTTTCCTGTTTTGGTATCTGGAACAGGCCTGAATGGCTGTTTTAAGAAGTTCCTTTCCCCACTTCCGTATGGCTGGGACCTAGGCAGGAACCCAAAGGAGGCTGGCGGCTACTGGGACACCACCTTTAACCCTGGCCTGGGGGGCGGGGTGTGAGGATGCTGAGGTGGGCAAACTTTGGTCCCCAACTCTATGGCTAACAAGGTTCGGGGCATCTTTCACAAGCACTCAAGGTCTCCTTGAGCTAGAGGTAAACACACAAATTAAAACTTGTGATGAACCATGATGCAACAGAAAGCTTATTTCAGATGGATGTTCCTTTTCTTTCCCCTCTGCTGTATCAACTCACAGAAGCTGCTAAGGCAGAATTTAGAGAAAATTGTTTTCAAGCCACCAGAGACCTGTTTGTACAACTCAAACGGTTGTATTTATTTAATGTACCTCAAGGTGTTTTAATAATGATCAGTGTTTTAATAAAAAGTATTTCTGGCCTCTGTGTGTCTGAGGTCTAATTGCGACAGAGACAGGCTGAGGGCTGTGTGCACCGTTGGCCAAGAGCAGGGTCCTGAGGGCTTGGTCTGGGCTCCCTGCCAGCTGCTGGGGAGTGGGAGGCACCCAGAGCTGCCCAGCTGTGCTTCCTAGGAGCCCCCTGGAGAGACTGAGCTGCAGGAGCTCAGGAGGAAAAGGCAGTCCCCTCCACCCGATGCACGCACGTCCCATCCACACTGACCCACACCTGCCGCTCCGTGGAGGCAACACCTGGGAGAATACGGGCCACAGCTCAAAGTTTTTCGTTTTTCTTCTTCTTTTTTTTTTTTTTTTGACTGTGTATCATTTTGGCGGGAGTCATGCCACCATGTCATCTGCTAGCCATAGCCTTCCTCCCTGGAGCCCATCACACGCCTTGTCCTGGGCACTGCAGGAATATTCCCTTGGGCTGCCTGAGCTGCGATCCCTCCCCTGCTTCTCCTCAGGTTATGAGGGTTCTTTGCATTCCCCAAGGTGGTGCTATCCCTGCTAACATTTTTTTCTTTTTCTTGGCACAGAGCTTTCAACTCTTTGCCTCCCCTTTCTAACAGAGTTTCCTACTGAACATTTTTCTTTGACTCTACCATGCATCCTTTCTGAAAGAAGGCCTGGAGCTAGAGTTCACTTTGAAAGACTGTTCTTAGATGCCCTGATGGCCAAGGAGGAGCTTAATGGAGTGCTTAGCTAGCATCCCTCAGGGGGCCTGGTAAGAAAAACCGCTTGTTCTCCCCCAGAACCCCAGGCCACAAAGGTGCTTGGTGAGTAGCTCCCATCAGCAGAGCATGCACTGCTGTGAGCAGGCCAGAGAGAAGGGGTCCTGTGTGCCAAGGTCCCCAGGCTAGCAGAGCTGGAGTCCCCTCCCTGGACTTTCTGACTAAAGCCCAAGTTCACTCCGTGGCCTCCCCATGCCAAGTGACACCAGGGCCATACCACAGAGAAAAGAATGTGACAGAAGAACTGCCTGAGTCCTGTTAGTGCCCTAGACAACTGCAAAGGACCTCACAGGTAAAAAGAGGGGGCTGGGAGTGGTGCTTCGACTCTGTATCTTACCCATACACACGCGTGTGCGTGAACATATGTGTACACCTCTCCTGGAGGCAACTGATATTTAAATCCGAAGAAGCCCAAGTCTCCATCTCTTTCTTATTCAGTTAGTAGCTTGTGGCCATGTCTCTCACCTGGGGCAGGTGGGTAGAGAACCCAGAGCAGCCTGGTGACCTGTGACGACTGCTGACACTTCCAGGTGCTCCAGGGTTTGGCCCACACGAGATCTGGTGACCTTAGCATGCATCCTCTGACCTCATGGCCAAGAGCTCCCAAGGCCCTAGACTGGGAAGGGATGCTGTCACCATATGGCAGACTTGCAGAGCCACTCACTAGAGAGTGAGAACCAGAGGCCGGTTGGACCTATGATGCTCAGTGAACACACCAGCCACACAAAGAGCTTCCATCATGACTTCAGGTTTATTAGTGAGATGCGCGAAGTCTTCCTAAGGTCAGCTGCATGCAACACACAGGTTACTCCTCAAATACAGTAATCCTAAAGCTTTAGTTACTGCGTGGTAAGGCTTCTTAAGTCACAGTGTATTCTTCAAGGCCTGGGCCAAAAAAAGAGACTTCCAGACAAAATGATGTCAGTTAACATTGATCTCTAATGAACCGAACCGGACGATGGGTTCCTTCATCTACACACGCTCTAATACTGCTCATGGCGGGGGGCATCTTGCTTGCCACGTAATTAGCGCTCCTGGCTGGTTGCCTCAGGAAGGGCAGAGGTGGAGTTTTCTGGTGGGTTTGGATTGTTGGAGAGGAGCGTGTGTGGATGTGTTTGTGTAGATAGGTTTTAAACAGGGGGCAGATGCCTGTGCTGCTGTCCTTGTCCCTGGCAGGATGGTGAGAGTGTTCCCACCTGGCAGGAGGGTGGGTGCCCAGGTAAGTTCACAGAGACTCAATGACTCGGAATGGGGGAGGGGGACAGGAGAAGCAGGTGTGGTCACCAGACATGGGAAACCCCTAAACTTCTGAAGAACTGCTTGCCCAAATAAAAGTCCAAATGGTAACATTTTCTAAATAAATATGGAGTTTTTTGATGTTGTGACCATCATCCTTTATTGAACTCAGGAATATCTCCTTTCCTGGTAAATACTTACAATCGATCACATGTTCCCACACTTTTAGTGCAAGTCACATCCTGGGAGCCGGGCTGCCCACGCTCCTGTGGAAGCAGCAGCAGAGTCAGCTGTGCGGGCTCTTCGGGGCTCCAGTGGCACCCCCATCAACCCGGGGGGCAGGAGAGGGCTGCTTGCCCCCTTGCAGGCGCTGTGTCCCTCAGAGGCCTCCCTTCATGGCGGCATGAGTGGGTCCCCATGTTTTGTGTTCTACAACTTCAGGGAAGAAAGACACACACTCTCTATGCCACACAGAGGTACCCATGAACACCCCTGCCAGTCACAATGAGAAAAACAGTTCAGAATGTGGCAAAATACTTGAATGTTTTACAAAGGTTTGTTCCTGCGACTCTCCTTTGATAAAAAAAAAAAAAAAAATGTACCCCTTTTGGCAGAAAACAAAAAACAAAAAAACAAAAACAAAAACAAAACAAAACAAAAATCAAATCAAAACAACCGGGAGGAGGTAAGGGCACACCCTTCGGGGCCAGTGTTCTTGGCTGGGCTGTGCGATCAAGGGGCAGGGCTTTGTCCTGGCTTCCTGCTTTTCTGGGTCCAGGTGGGCCTGCCTGGCGACCCCGGCTCCGTGGCAAAGGCTGGGTGGGCCTAGATGTATAGCGGGGTCTCCTGGCCCGTGAGGAGCCTGAACATGGCAGCAGGCATGGTCTTCATGTGAATCTGTCAACAGAGACAGGAGAATGAGCGGCTCACCCACTCCCCACAGGTGCTCCCCTCGATGCAGTTAAGTGAGAACCAACAGTAGAGGTGAACATCTCCCAAGAGCCTCCTGTTGAGAATGCCAGTGCCTCCGAGTGAAGGAAGAAGGACATGCTGTGCAGACAGACCCGGGTTCCCCATCCCTGTCTGCACACAGTCATGCTGACATCAGGAGGGTGGAAAACTGGACTTTTAAGGGTGTCTGCAATTCGCCTCCTCGGGTGAGGGAAGGCTGCAGCATCCCCAGGAACCGTGGGGCGTGCACTGTGCTTCAGTGAGGGGGAGACCGAGAGAGCCCTGCCCACTAGGCCGGTGTTCTGGAGGGCTGGGGACGGGCTCACTGAGGAGCGGGCTGCCCTCAGACCATCATCCTTTCAGAATCCCTTAGGGAATAACCCTCAGTGCCTGACCTCCCCCGCTACCTGGCTCTAAACAGGATGGGCATAAAACAAGGAAGGCATGAGGCTGATCCCCAGGGACACCAACCCCAACATCCTTGAGGACACTGGACGGAAGGCATGTCTTGGGGGGCAAACACCAAGCCACTGGAAGCAAAGAAAAGGTGAGCTCCAGCCCTTCCCAGCCCGGCAGAGTGCTGTGCTCCGGCCGGAGGGTCTGCCTTGCCCACTGCCTCTATGGGTGGGTGTTGTTTCTGAAATATCTAGCTGGCCTGGGTGCTGCTGGCCTCTGCCCATGCCCAGTGCCCAGGGATGAGGCTACCAGGAGTTAGCCGCCGATCCCACCCAGGTCTGGCCTTCTTCAGGCAAACAGGCTCGGGCCCTGGTCTGTCCAATGCAAATAGGTAAAACTTGCAGATAAGATTTTCCCACCTTTGCCCCTTCACCATTTGTTTGATCTGTTCAGATGCTGGCTCTTCCGTCACCCCAGGAAGGCTTTTTCCATCAGAAGTTTCATTCTGGGCAATTCTTCAGTCTGAACCCCCCCCCCAAGGCTCATCCAAACTTCAATCTTGTTTTTCAGTGACTAATTTTCCAAACGTGCTTGGGCACGATGGAAAACGCAGGCAAGCGCTTTCATCTCCCAGCTCAGCCAGCAGGTCTGCGGCCGGCGGGGGGCTGATGGGACTCCAGCACCTCACAGCCCGTTCTCCTGCCTCTTTGAAATCAATCCATCTGGGGTCTGAGGAGTGGGAATCATTTCTCCCCGCTCCCAGCCTGGCTTCTCCTCTGGATTGATTTCTCTGTGGGTGTGAGGCTGATGGCTCCCGTGTGGGCAGCCATTTCCAAGCGCCTACTTAGGAAAATTGGATTTTCCTTTCTTGGAAGCCATTTGTAAAGGGAAGTTAATGGCAGCTCCCCAGCCCCTCTCTTTCTTCATAGAGTCAGCCATCGCCACCACCATTCGGGGCGGGGGGAATGTGCCTCCTCCCTCGGCCTCAGAAGTTTCACAAAATACTGAGTGTCCTGATGTGGCCCAGGAGATGGGATCTGAGGGGTGACCTGGAGATAGCTCACCTCCCCACCCACACTCTAAAATGGAGTCCAGGCCCTCTGCCTCACGTGGCCACCGGGGGGAGCACCACACACCACCCAGAGCCTGGCCGGACCCTCAGTGTGCAACCCAAACTCTGCCTGGGCCCCCTCCCCACTTATCTCTCCAGCTCTCCTCGGCCTTACTCTTTGGGCCATCACCTATGCCTCTCCCAAAGAGACTGTCACCCTTCTTCAATGACTGCCTTCACAGGCCCACTCACACTCCTATACTCACACATGTGAACACCCAAACTCACAGAGACCCTCACAAAAACACACCCACACTCACCCACTCCCAGGTACACTAATACCCCTACCCACACACCCACACTCTCATATACACTCGTTTATACACACCCACTCATCTGCATTCACACACACACCGTCACGTGCACCTTCACACACCTCACACATACACACGTGCCCACATTCATGCACACCCCTGTACCACACCACAACAGGAAGGCCTGCTCCCCATGTGCTGCGGCATCTCCCACGCTGGCCTCCTGCTCGTGCCCACTTGTGAGCCTCTTGGGACATCTGTGCCCTTCCCCTGGTACCCTGGACCATCCTCCTGATGCCATGGAAATGACACCAGAAAGAACTAGACCAGGAATAGGTTCCAAGTCGACAGGAAGGAAAGGGCTGAGTCTTGCTCCGAGAGCAAGGGCAGGCAGCAGGCAGGAGGCAAACCCAATGCCACAGTGATCCGAGCCTCAGGCCCTGGAGGGCTGGCCCAGCAGAGGAGAGGGGTTCCAAATGGCACGTGAAGGATTCAGTTCCAGAAACTGTGCAAAGGAGCTCCATCCCCAGCCTTTGCCCTCCTGTCTGTTGAGAGACATTCAGCTGCTTTGTTCAATGGAGCCAGGAGGGACGGGCCAGGCACTGCCTGCCATTCTGCTCATCCTTGTGACAGGCACTGGTAGGGTAGAAGCCAGTCTGGCCTGCCCAACAGATGCCCAGTGGCCCCTGGAGAGGTGGTGTCTCTCAGAGGTCAAGGTGGGCAGCACACATGAGCCAGCACACAGAGGTATGTCCAAGGTCCCAGTAGGGTCTCCTTGTCCCAAGAAGGGTAGACTTCCCTGGGTGGGGACCAGTGGCTTTCCCAAGCACATCATGTATCCCCTCGTGTAGCCCATGGGGTTAAATGTTGGTCATGGAAGAAGTAGGGGCCAAGATACCCCTAGACGCTGGCCACAAGAAAATGACAAGGGATGGAGGGGAGATGGGCATAGTCTTACCTCCCCAACAGAGTTGGACAGAGCCTGGACTATCTTCTCATGGGCTGTGGCCACCACACTCTGCCCATTGATCTCGATGATGCGGTGGCCAACACGGACGCCACCTCGTTCGGCGATGCCCCCTCTCATGAGGCTGCAGATCTGAGTAGACACGGTTGGGTCAGCATGCACATTCCCACCACATCCCCAGGGGCTCCACCATGTCCCCAAAGATGGGAAAACAGAAAGTACTCATGCAGAGAGAACAGCCTTCCTTGACAGATACTTCTACATGTAATTCCCTGACTCATGAAGGGAAATTTATGATTTGGAATGTTAAAAGAGAGAGAGAGAGAAAAAAAAAAGAGAGAGAGTCAAAGCTGTGGTGTGAGTGGGGGACCATCCAGGTCTTCAATCCTCCCACGGTGGAATCTGTGACCTTTGCTCCTGGTGTTGGCAGAGGGTGGGGGGGCCAGTGTTGTGCACAGTCGGTACAGGTTCTGGATGATTCTCTGCCAGCTGCACCCTAGCCATCGTTCAGGGGAAGGCAATCCCATCCCCACCTCCTGAGGACAGAGGAGATAAACTCGCAAGCTGACAACTGGAGTTTAGGAAACGGACAGTGAAGGCTGTAAGTTTGTCTTCATTAAAAATCCAGGCATCAGAAAGATGAGCGTTCGTGGAACACCAGAGGGAGAACAGCCCCTGGAGGGTGGGGCCTGTAGACTCATTAGAGAAGGGAGGATGGGAAGGACCAGGGGGCAACACCCTGAGGAACCCATGAAAGGCATGGAGATGAAGGTGCCGCAGCAGGAGGAGAGGTTGAAGTCCTGGGACCCAGCTCGAGATGCGGTGAGGTGGGGCAGGGAGCAGAAAGTGGCCCAGCCTCCCTCCACTGCCAGCTGCTCCCAGGGGCCAGGGATCTTAATCCGCTGATAGCCAGGCAGAGTGATGGGTAGGCAGCAGCCTCATTGGGGCAGAGGCATCCTGAGAGCAGCCACAGGACACTTGGTGGTCTCTCATGTCCACCCCCTGCCCCTGCCCCAATCCCAGACACCTCAGCCAGCATGAGTGAGCCCTCAGAAGCCCCTTGGCAACATGGGCCACACAGGGACAGTGTCCAGCCCCGTGCCCAGCACTGTGTTGGCATCACTGCACAGAACTCTGTGTTTGCAGATGAGGAAGGTCGGGCCCAGAGGCAAGTGCGAGAGGTCCAGGCAGGCATGACTTGTCCTCCCTTGCCTAGGGACACACATGACATCATCTGAGAGCCTCGATGAATTCATCATGGCTTTCTGTCCTTCAGTTTCCTCTCTCTGGGAACCCTAACAGCCCAGCTACCATCTCATTGGTGTTTTTATGACTTTTGACAGGTCCTCATATTTAAAAGGCAGGAAAACATGACTCAGGCCAAGCAAGGTGCTTCTGGAACACCAGAGGGAGAACAGCCTAAAAGGTCAAGGGTCAGCTGTCCACAGGAGATGCTGGTGTGGATGCCGGGAGATCTCAGGCAGGAAGGCGGGGCCCTTTCAACCCATGGAAAGCTTGTACCTTATGGCTCTTGGTGCCCGGAAGTGAATCACTCCCTGCTTGCCCCAGAGACTTGGGAGTTTGGGGAAAGCCCCACCTGTGTCAGAGCGCTGGCTGGTGTGGCCTCCCCCATCTAATTCCTGATCTGAGCGCCTCCACCAGCTTATCCTTGCCCCTTCTCCCTCAGCACCTGGAAGTGCATCTCTTTAAGAATGATGTAGGCTTAAACGTCCACTGCCCACAGGCTGGCCCTAGTGGCCCCCATGTGCTTCCTGTTTGCCATTTATTTTGTGAGTTCTGCCTGGTCACCAACACAGGTCTTTCCAAAGGGAGTCCATGTGTGAGGATCCTATAGGGTTCCTGCAGCCTGTCCCTCCCTGCACTCAGGACTTCTCCATTTCTGGAGGAAGACATTCTGTGCTGGCTGGAGACACAGGTGCAGACCGATACTGCAGCCCAAGGCTGCTGCCACCTAGCCACCTGGACTCCTGTGGCAGAGACTAATTACTACCTGGGGGAACCCAGGCTCTTGGGCCAGAGTGGGATCCTCCAGGGAACAGGGGTGTGGGTGGAATGCGGGAGGCTGTGTTTGTGGCCATGGTTGTCTAGAAAAGTGGAGAACTGTGGTGTCCGATGGAATTTTGCTTACCTGATGGCCCACAGACCCTACACAAGCATTAAGGAATGATTTTATTCTTTTTTTTTTGACTTAGTGTATTTTGTGTCAAAACTGACTAGTTCTTTGACGATCCAGAAGGAGGTGATTCGGGATCACCGGTGTCACTCCTCTGGCCTGGCCAGAAGAGGGCATTCCTTAGAAAGGGCTATTTTGACTGAGTCCCTGGTGGTGGCTGTCTATGTATTCATGGAGACTCGAGAAAAGAGGACAAAAGGGGAAAAGAAGACAAAGAGGGTGAAAATGGGTTTGTGCCTTACGAGGGGTGCTGCTGGCAGAACACACTCTGACCCCGACACACAAGCCGTCAGAATCCGGGGGTGAGGAAGGGGAGCAGGAGGTGCGGGGTGGGGGAACATGCATGAGGCAGAGGTCTTGCCGACCCAGGCTCGCCCTGCAGAGACTGGGACTGTGACATATTCTAACTTCATGTTGTGCACTTTGGGAGAAGAAGATGGTCTCCCAGCTGGAGGCTTCTTGATTTCTTGGAAGATATTGTGGGAAGAGAGAGGCGGATCCATTTGGAAAGAGCATTAATTGGATCATCAGGGGTTTGCTGCTAATGCTTTGTTACTTCAGGAGTAATGAGGCTGCAAATGGAAAAGGTGCTTATGCAAAACCAGCTCGGATGTGGGCAAACTTTTCCAGGAGACACAGGGGACCCCTGACTCCATGGAGCACAGCAGCCAGTGGGCGCTAGGCTCCCGGTGGGCCCAGCAGGAGGGTGGACTAGCTCAAGGACCGGAACTGAAGCCTTGATCATGGGCCTCGTGGGCATCTCTGATGCCTGCTTTTTAAAACCCTGGGCCCTAGATGTAAGCATAGGAGTCCTGCACTGGGCACGGTGCTCCCAATCCACACATGCACCCTCCGCTGACACCCTGACACCATGCAGAGAGGCAACGGGCGTGTTCCCTTTGTCCCTGCTCTGCCACTTCCCAGCTGGGAGGCCTGGGGCAAGTTACTTCACCTCCCCGTTCCTAGGTCCTCTTCTGTGACATGGTGACAGATGATGCCATTCTTTAACTGGACCCTCCCAAACACCAGTTGCCCCAAGGATGCCCTCAATATGCTTGTCCATGGTGGGGGGTTCCATTTCCTGGTTCCTGGAACTGACCCCAGACAGGTGGACTGGAGAGACTGAGATGCTGAGACTAGATGGATGGGAGAAAAGATGAGCTGCACACCCATGTGCCCACAGCACGGTTCACAGGCACCAAGAGGTGGGAGTGACCCAAGTGTCCATGGAGGGATGGATGGATAAGTAAAATGTAGCACATCCGTACAGTGGAATATTATTCAGCTGTAAAAAGGAAGGGAATTCTGATACTTGTTTATGGGATAAACCTCAAGGACGTTATGCTAAGTAAAACAAGGCAGTCACAGAAGGACAAATATGTCACGATTCCACTTATAATGAGGTACCCAGAGTACTCCAGTTTATAGACAGAAAATATCATGGGAGGGGAAATGGGGAGGTCCCATTGTTTCATGGGGACAGAGTGTCAGTTTTGCAAGATGACACAAGTCCTGGAGACTGGTTGTACAGCCGTGTGAATGTACGTAATACTTCTAAGCCATATTCCTAAAGATGGCTAAGATGGTAAGTTTTATGTTGCTTGTATTTACCATAATTATTAAAAAAAGAAAGAAAAATAGATGCCCTAGAAGAGCTGAGGTTTAAAGAAAAGGGAGGTAGAGCGGGGGACGGGTGTCCAGGGGCCTCTCTCTCTCTCCTCCCCTGCCACACCCAGTCCTACTTAGCTGCCCTAGAGCTGGGACACAGTTCAAGTCTCTGTTCACCTGAATACGAAGCCCCGCCACCTGCCCCAGGGAGTGTTTCTGCAGTAATCAGGCAGAAACCACAGTCAGTCACCCTGCCCAGTCACTGCCTCGCCAGGCACTGTGGAGGCTGGGGACTCCTACTCACTGTCCAGCCATCTCCCACTATCCCCTTGGCCCCTGGCCATCCCTGGCCAGGCAGAGTGAGCACTTGGGGCTGGGGGCCTGGGAAGGGTGGGAGTGGGTTCGAGGGCCCAGGGAAGAGAGTCGTGGCTGCAGGGCCAGGGGAGGCGGGCAGCAGGAGCCCCAGGTGCCAGGCCAAGCACTGACTGGTGGGCAGGAAGCGGAGGCCACAGTCTCTGAGCCATTGGTCGCATTCTGACCCGGGGGCAAGGGATTTGAACCAGAGAAGCCAGTACCATCAGGTCTCCCGAATGCCTCCTCACACTCCCCCTTCCTCCCAGTGGGGAAGCTGCTGCGGGACTCCAGCACCTCCCCCGGAAGGTGGGTGGGAGAGAGCCTGTAGCCTGTCATGGTCACCCGGCCCTACCTGGCTGTCCCTGACTGAGGCTCACGGCTCTGTCCTGAGGCTGGCCACAGCGCTACCTTTCCTCTTGCCTTAACTTAGCCTCACAAGGCACCAACCAGGGCCCCAATCCTCCTCGTCTCTTGGCTCCCGCTTCTGGACCTCTGTTCTGCACATCATTACCGGCTGTGTGACCCCAACAGCCGTGGACCTCGATCTGACGTCCCGGGACAAGTCCCAGGCTCAGCGTAGCCTCCACAAAGCTTGCAGATGTGGAGGCCAGGGGACTCCCTACCTACTCAGAGTAAGAAAAGTTTTCTCTCATTTGTAGTTGTTTTTCTAGAATGTTCTCCTTGTGTCTTTCCTCGGTGCTATTGGTGAGCACACACATCCTCCCCACTCGCCCTGACACCACTTCCTCCTTACCATCTCTCCTCAGCTCTCTAACGCTCAGGGCTGTTTTAAATGATTTGGGTATCACTGGTCCCCCTACTTCTTCTATACTCATTTAGTGGCCACTTTGCAGAAAGAAAACACCAAGGAAAAAAAAAACTCATGCCAACCAAACTTAGGTCAAAGAGAAAGTGGGAAACTTCTAACTGAAGAACTTTGGCCTGGGGAGCAGGCACAGGTTTTTTGGCTAGCCCAGTATTCACTCAAGCCCAGGAACACCTCCTCCAGGCAGCCCTCCTGCCTCTTTAGTGTCTGACATGGAGCCTGAGTTGGGGAAGATATTTCACAAATGTCTCCTGAATCACTGAATGAGTAAATGAACAAGGAAGAAAGGGGTGAACCCATGAGTGATCATGCATTTGTGGAGCATGGTGAGTCTGATGTCACTATTAATTGTGTGTATTCAAGCTACGGTTTGCTAGCAAAGTCTGCTACCCTCCCTTCCTAAGCAGACATTTGCTCAGTTTAGCCATCACTGGGACATGCGTGCGCAGGCAGGGCTTAGGGACCACTCCTTTCCTGGCCTCCTTTTCTAGCTGGGCCAGCACCCAGGGATCCACTGAAAATTCCTTCCCCATGTGGCTTGGCTCATGGAAGCTGTGCCCAATGGCCTTCCACCCAGACAAGAGCTACCATCCCCCAGCTCCTGACGCCCCGTCCCCACATGTGGCGAAGGCAGCCCAGGGTGGGGAAGTGGACTCACGATTCCATTCTGCACACTGAAGCCCAGCTGGTACTTGAGGTCTGGCCGCTTGATGAGGACCGTGGTGACTGGGGGGCAGCTGACGATGTTGAGCTTCACCTGGGTCTGGTTCTTCAGGCCCTGAAGAGCATGGGCACAAGAGTCACAGGAGGGTCTTAGATATCACTCTGTCTTAGATATCACTTTGGGCAGAAAGGTGGGAACATGCCCCGGGCCCGGGGAGGGTGTGCTCACGAGAAAACACTTCTCGGCCTCGGTGAGCTGTCAGCCTCATTGTGCTCCATAAACACAGGTCACTCAGTCATTCCCTCGTTTCCTCAGGGAGTCACATTTCAACCTCAGTGTCTCCTCTACACAGGGAATGAACCTTATCCTGATTCTCAGGACAGTAGCTGGGCATCCCGGGTGGCAGTGTATAGGGTGGCCCACCATAGGCTGGGGCTGTCTCTGACCTGTGCATACACGAGCCATTTCAGGAGTCAGAAGCCAGGCTCTGAGAGCCACTGAGAACCAATGGGTTGAGCATCAGGGTCACCCTCAGGGTGCTCACAGGAGGGGCTGCCGACATGCTGAAGGCAGAAGGAGAACTTCCTCTTTGGAAGGATGTGGGGGATACTTCTTCAAACCAAACATCCTCCAACAATGCACAGTGCCAAGAGCGACAGCTCAATGAGACTCAGCATCCAGAATACCGCAGGCTTTGGGTGCTGCATCGAGGTGGGCTAGAGTCACCTCAGGCCCCAGGGAGGACATGATTATCAGTGAGCCCCCGCCAGACTGCAGTCCTGGGGTCGGGCAGAAGTCCAGAGGCAGGGGAGGGCCCCAGCCCTTCATATGGCTCTAGTTTTAGCCTGCCTGGAGGTGGGGACAGCCCTCATGCACACATAGCCCCCAGAGCTGCAGGGTCTCCCCATATTCATTTCCCACTGGGCAGAGGCTCCACTGGGTCAGCTCCAAAAGCCCATTTGCAGAATACTCTGGTTTTGGGGTGCCTTTCATCTCTCAGGACAAAAGGGGCTTCTTCCAGCACCAGGACCACAGAGGGATAGGGGTGAGGCCACTTATGGGTCACAGGAGCTGCCACCAACAGGCTGCTGTATGGAGTCTGCCCCTCCTGAGGCAGCCAAGTGTAAAGGCCCTCCATCCACTTGCTTGTAAGTCCCCTCTGCCTGATCCTCTTGGGGACAGGTCATGTTTCCCAAAACTACAAGCCCATGGGTCATATGGTCAGAATGGCCTTTCTGGCACACGATCCACATGGCTGATCCACTCTTCCAGTCCACCAGGACCAAGGGGGTTTCCAGAAGTGGGATTTTCAGTGCTAACCTGGGAAAGTACCAGGTCAACCCAAGTGAGTTTGGCATCCTCTGCCCACAGGTCCTCAGCCCCTTGCCTCAGGTCAACGTGATTCAGCCCTGGGCTACCGGCATAGGAACCTTCCCCCAGCGCCTTCCCAGGGCTGCCTGAGTACTTCTGATGTTAATCATGGGGTATAGTCTTGGCTTCAAACTTTCACTCTGCCACTGACCAGTCACCAGGTGGTTCTCTCTGGGCTTCAGTGCCCTGACATGGGTCAAATGAGGTAGGGCAGAGGTTCCCAATGCACTCACCTTGATGATGCCCTGGCAGGTGGCGAGAGGCAGCCCCACCAGGCTGGTGCCATTGATGGACATGATCTGGTCCCCGATGCTCAGCTTCCCAGAACGAGCTGCTGGGCCTCCATTCATCATGTTCGCCAGGATCACCGTGGGCAGGATGGAGCCCCAGCCCGACTCCACGACCACCACGCCCAGAATCTCACCCTTGTGCTTCTCCAGCTGAAGCTGCAAGGGAATGGACAGGGTGAGAGGGCCCAGAGTGGGGTCCAGGTTCTGGGCCAAGCACCTACAGAAGGACTGGCCTAACCCAGGTCTGGTGGGTCCTGACTTGCTTCTTGGCCAGTTCCTCTCAGCCAAGAGATGTCTGCCTTGTCCCCTGACCTCTCCCAACTTGGGCTCCCAAGACCCTCTGGGGCCCACCAACTCAGGGAACCTGGAAGCCCAGGGTTCGTCTCCTCCTCCTCTACCCAGCATGGAAGCCCCCAACCCCAAGCAGGACTCCCATGTCCTGGCTTCTGCTCCCCACCCCCAAATCCACAGAGGCCAGAGGCATGTTCTCAGCATCGAGAGCCCATCCTCTGCTCCCAGGCTTTCCTCTTATCTAGGAAGGTCTATTTTTCTCTGCCTCAAGAGTGGCTCTCTCAGAAAACGACCTGTCACTTCATTCAACAGAAAGTCAAGAGCATTCATTCAAGATCTACTCAGATTCATTCACTTGACCAGGATCCAGGATCATTGTTTACTCATTCACTCATTCAGTAAGGAGCCAGGATCGTTTGTTCATCCATTCAACAAACGGGTCAGGAGCATTCTTTCACAGGCAGATAAATTCATCTATTCTAGAAACAGTCATGGTAGGGGCCACCCCCAGGGGAACTTGCTGAGGCCTCTTCCGCTGACAACTTCAAAACTGCCCCTGCCAGAGCACCCAAGTTCCCTCTTTTAAAGATGCCTCCCACTTGCTTTTCAGAAATATCTCCTGGGGGCTGAGTGCCAGTTGATGATCATAGCAGCATTAAAAGGCACGTTTTCAAGGTCATTAACACCGATTGTAATCAGCTTCTTTGTTAGAAACGTCTCATTTCACACACCAGCTCAGCTCAAGGCAGGGGCAAGACGTACATGCTGGGCAGCCCCCCTCACTGCTGTGAGGCAGTGATGTGCATCTGAGAGACCAATGAAGGCTCACTCCCGCCCTAGCCTGGCAGGCTGAGGTGGGGAAGCATGGGGTGTTGCAAGGCTGCCTGGCTGAGTTCCTCAAGAACTTGGCTTGGAGAGCAGAAGCCAGTGGAATGGGCTTCCGGTGGCCTGTAGAGGGCCTACCTCCTTGCAGTTCTCGGAGTTGGAGAAGTGGATGAGGTCATCGTTGTACATCTCCTGGGTGTTGATGATGTCGCTGTACTCCTTCTGGCTGAGGTCTTCTGGGTTGATGCCATTGGCCCGCAGAAACTCCTGGTAGGCCACACTGAAGGCCTGCCCAATGGACTGGGCTATGAGTTGGGCCTGTGGGGAGGGAGCAAGCCCACTAGACACAAGTTTGAAAATACAGGTTTCACAGGGTCCCTGGTGGAGGGGCTACAGCAGCTGTGGGTGCAGAGGGTGTCCAGAAACCTCCAAAGGGACCCTTGCTTGGGCTTAAAAGAACAAGAGAGTAACCCTGGGCCCTTGGCAGGTGACAGCTGTCTTCTTCTGATATCTCACCATGGGCCACCACAGGTAAACCAATTTGCTTGTCTTGTACCATCAGGGCCTGGTCCTGACTATACCTTCCTGAGCTCCTTTATGTCCTAGACATTCCAGGACAAGCCATGATTTCAAAATAAACTCAGAGAAAATGGTGACGTATTTGCTAAATGTCATATTTGATTGCTTTAATTGGTAACTGTACTGTATTTTCTTTTTACCCATCTTACTCCAAAAATAGATTTGAAGCATGCTTTCCAGGGAGCATCACAGACATGGTTAATTGTTCCTTCCACGTCTATTTCTCCTGAGCTACAGAACCTAGTACCAGCTGGGTGGGGGCCAGCTGTGAGTATTCTGTTGCTCTCATAAGCAAGGCTGTGGCCCATGAGAGGCCTGACACCTCGGCACATCAGTGCAGGCCCTATGGAGCAGATCTTTTCTTGTTCCTTCAACTGAACCATTTCTGTGGATGTTACTGACTCTGACAATACAGAGGCCTTGGACACTGACACTTTAGGATGGGGCCTTTTCTGCCCCCTGCTGGTGTGCAGACAGGATGATGGGAAGCGAGAGCTAAAGATTCCCAGCTCCTGGACTAGGCATAGCAAGCTCATGACAGCAGGGTAGCCCTGGGATACCAGTGGAACTTTGAGTGACATCTCAGCACACAGCAGTATCTTCTCCTGCTCCAAGCCCTGGGCGACATGAGCCCAGCTCAGGTTTTCCCATGCTCCCCACCTTCCTCCCATTTGCTATCAAGGTGCCCCCAGCAAATTGGCTCAAAGGTGAAAAGGAAGGAATTGGCCTAAATTCCTTTCTTACTGCACAATGCATGATTTAAGTGCTGCAATGAATATGCATATAGGAAGGCGCACTGGGCCAGATCATATTTGCAGAGCATCTGGGCCTTTCCTTAAATAGGCACTGATTCTAGGTTGAACTACCCGCGCTGATTAGGCTCTAAACCATTTATAGGAAGGACACATCCACTGTCTCCCTTGTTCTCATGACCAACGTGTTGGTGGCGGGCTGATGTGGTTGCTTGGGTACCACCAGGTGGCGCTGTCGGACTGGACAGGCGCGGCGCAGAGATTGGGCTCCTGAAAGGGCAGCGGACACCAGTCCAAGGGAGGGAGGGGCCTAGGGGAAAAGCTGAGTGCGGTGGACATGGGGTCCTGGAGCAGCAGTGCCCTGTACCGACTGGGATCTCAGGGTTGTCCCACCCCTCAGCACCTGGTTCTGTCTCCACCTGAAGGAGGTCATCTGGCTGGAAGAGCAGTCGGACAGCATCAGATTTCTTGATCACTAGACCAAAGGCTGAGCTCAGGCTGCCTGCTGCCCCTGGATTCCCATCTTGGGATCTCGGGGGACCATGCTCCTAACCCCCAAAGCTCCTTTCCTTAGACAATATTTTGATCCTCATCCTAACTCCATGGCCCCTCTGGGGGAGAAAAAAGACAGCCAGGCACCCTGAGGATGGGTATTCCTCTGGGCACAATCCAGGAACCTGCGGAGTCCTGCTGGCTGCCTGCCTCCCAGTTCCCCCTTCAGCCTGTGTCCTGGCTTCCCTTCTACCTGGGCAGAGGCCAGCTCAGAGGGCCCTCTCTGGCTGGCTGAGGCCCAGCTCCAGCACCCTTAGACAAGTGGCTCCTTGCTTGGCCCAGCTTACAGCCAGGCCTGAGGATGTTCACCGCTGTGAAGCTAGGAGTCCTGCCCTGGACCCAGCAGGAGGCCAGGTTTCAAGGGCTCTCAGCCAGGGCCTGGGCAGCAGGCAGGCTGTTGCTCAGAGGTGGCCCTACACGTGGGTTGCGTGTACTTGAGAAGACAGGGAGGAAGAGGATGCTGTGCCCAGCACCATGTTTTCCTAGCACTTTCATGTGTGCAGCTTCATCTACCGTTGCCTCAGTCTCAGAGCAGCTGGGCTCCCTCCTACGGGGAAGAAATCAAGACCGAGTAGCCATCTGGACCACATCTCTGAAACTCCGCATGCTCTACCTGGGCAGGTCCTTTCCTCATTTTTTCAAGGACCCATTCATTGGCCCTTCCCACTGTGATAGCCCTGTGTCCTGTTGTGTGCCTACAGTGGGCAGCTCCTGACTTTAACCTTCAACCGTCCGTACTGGTTGTGCCATGGAAACTCTTGCTGCTCCCTGCTCCTTGATTTTCTCACTAGCTGGCCATTAGCCCTCTGCCATTGGCCTGCTTCTTGCATACACCATTATTTGATGCTCTATACCCCTGCCAGGTCTCTAAGATATCCCCAAGTCCCCACTCACTGAGAAATGCTCATCCAGGTGTCCGCAGACCTCTACATAATAGTGAAAAGTATATATATGTGCTTAAGTAGGTCTGTACTGAAATAATGTCTGCACCCTATAAATTTGCAGCTGCTTCCAAGCGTTTTACGTTGACAACTTCTTGGGAAAAAGATGACTGCCCCTACCCATAAGTTTGCATCCTCTCTTCAAATACAGTTTTTATGCTATATTTCATAATCATGAAAATATTGAGACCCTTTTTATGGCTCTCAACCCCAGAACTCCTTCAAGTCCTCATGTGAACAAGAATGCCTTGCACTTCAGCACTTACTGCTGCCTAAATGGGGTCACTACTAACAAAGCTTGAAATGACCTGTCTTCACAGGGTAGAATGGGTCCATGGAGAATAGATCATGTTCAAAAATTCCACTCTGAAAATACCAACAGGAATGGCTCAGCAAAAAGCCTTCTTGGTGGTCCCTGAGGATATCAATCTGCAGAGAAGTCTGTTAAGAGATTACGTTCACTCTCTCCTGAGTTCCCCCCACCCCTACCTTTCTGTGGTATCAGAATTGAATCCAGGGCCTTTTGTATGCTAGCTAAGCACGCACTCTGCCACAAAGGCATATCCTTGGCCTTTTAAAAATTCTATTTGGAGAAAGGATCTTGTTAAGTTGCCCAGGCTGGCCTTGAACTTGAATCCTCCTGCCTCAGCCTCCTGAGTAGCTGGGATTACAAGTGTCCACCGCCCTGCCCAGATCTTTTGTTGTTGTTGTTTTCCAAGACTATCTTCCTCTGATGCCTAGGCTGGTCCTGAACTTCTGGGCTCAAGCCATCCTGCCACTTCAGCTCCCTGAGTAGCTGGGGCTATAAGCACATGCCACTTTATGGCCTCTTGGCGAGATCTATGGTATTTTGAGCTTCAAAATTATTTTTTAACCTGTTATGCAGTGAAATGACAAGTACAAAGGCAGAGCTCAACTTCAGATGCAGATATACAACCCTGGCAGGCAAAAATGTGTATTTCATCCACAGAATATTTAGGCAAACAATAACTTTATTTTAGGAGGGGAGAGATTTTATAAATGATTTCTTCAAACGGATAGCTCCCTTGGTACCTTTAACTAAGATCAGATTTATAAACAGCTCCCGAAGAACCTCTTTCATGAAGTGAAATAAAACTATCTTCTCTATCTTCACAAACTTGAAGAATGTGAAAAAAAATGTACCACTAATGCCACTGGAAATGTTCACATGGCACACAGGGCTTCCCCTTGCTAGGTGGTGCCTGGGATCATGGGGCACCATGAGGCACAGGGCTGTCGGGGGAAAGGCCTTTCCCACTCTGTGTTTACTTACGTCTTCTGACTCAAACACGTGGCAGATCATTTTATACTGCTTCTTCCCCTCCTGGGCCCCAGGTGTGGTCTCAATGCAATCTTGAGAGGCTGACCGGGGCATGCGGCGTCTGGCCATCAGCACTACGATGTTCCCGATGTCAGCAATGTAGGAGATGGTACGCAAGGCATGGTCCATCATGGTTTCCTGTCGGGAGGGAAAAGAAGGCCCCAGTGAGGACAAGCCAGTGAAAATCACTTTAATCGGGCGTTTCTCAACCTTGACCTTATTGACATTCACTGCTGGGTGAATGTTGCTGCTGGTACTGCTGGGTCATTCTTTTTTTTTTTTTTTAATTGGTTCTTTTTAGTTATACATGACAGTAGAGTCCATTTTGATATAATTATACAAGCACGGAATATATCTTAGTCTAATTAGGACCCCAGTCTTGTGGATGTACACAATGGTGAGATTCACTGTGGTATATTCATATATGTACATAAGAAAGTCAAGTATACGAAAAAATGTTCGATATATTTAGCAATTAGAACATTATAAATTAAAACACAACTGAGACTTCAGCTCACTTCAGTCAGAAAGACAATTATCAAGAATACAAGCAATAAGAAATGTTGGCGAGGATGTGGGGGAAAAGGCACACTCATACATTGCTAGTGGGACTGCAAATGGTGCAGTTACTCTGGAAAGCAGTATGGAGATTCCCAAACCCTTGGAATGGATCCACCATTTGACCCAGTTATCCTACTCCTCAGTACATATCCAAAGAATTTAAAATCAGCATACTACAGGGACACAGCCACATCAATGTTTATAGAAGCTCAATTCACAATAGCTAAACTGTGGAGCGAATCTAGGTGCCCTTCAACAGATGGACAAGCCACTCATTATTGCACAGGGCTGTCTTGGAGGATATTCGGAGCATCCCTGGCCTCTCTCTACCCCTAGATGCAATAGTAACTCCCCTTCTTGAGGGAGAAAACCAAAAACATCTCCAGTAATTGCAAATGCCCTGGGGAGCAGGGGTGAGGGGGGTGGAGACAACAGGGCATTTTAGGATGCTGATTTGTAATCAAAGTAACCAACATTTGGCTCTGCCTGCACCCAGGTAGGCATGAGATGGGGCACCCTATCCTCATTAGGATTAGAGGACATCTGTGGCTCTGGAGAAGGACCTTCCCTGCAAGGCACGTGGCCTTGTGCAGGCTCAAAAGTGGCCCGGCCCAGAGAAGCAAGGCAGGAAGGTCAATGTTGTCCACTAGACAAGTTCTTCCCAGGGAGCACAAGCAGCCTGGCCCAAGTCAGGAGACACTGAGGCAGCATGTCTGCCTCCCATCTATGGGTTTCCATAGCTGACTTGGAGTCCCAGGCCCCTGGTCCACTACTATTGATGGCTTTTGTCATCTGGCAGGAACCTCCACCAAGCTTCTTGCCTGTGAATCCTCCCTAACAAGGATGCACACAAAGGCTCTGAAAAGCTAATCAGTAGGTCTTTTGTGCCTTTGCTTTCCTTTCACAAAAGGAAATCGGGTGTCTCTGTGACCTCTGGTGCCCTGTTCTTCCCCACAGAATCATGTCTTGCAGTGATGATCGTGCACATTTGTGTAAGAGGGTGATTTGTTTTCTGGCCCATGCTACTGGGGGTTCATGATGACAAGACACAAGGGAGGGACCCTGGAAAAGGGAAGAGTGAGAGTAGTTCTTCAGCGTCTCCTGATTTCTGACCACTATCCAATTTCCTATCAATAGCAGAGATGTCTTCCTCAGACAGAGGCTGCCTACCAACACGGTGGCCATTCTCTCTCCTGCTCTTTCTGGCCACTTCCAACTGCACAGTCTCTCACCTGTTCCCACCTCTCCAGTCCTTCAGTCAACATTTTTTATATTTTAGTCAAACCAATTTCTTGTTCAAGCCACTCTTCCAGTTCATCCTAAACAGTGACTTGGAACAAGTTCTCAAACCACCAATGGCCCATCCTCCTACCCTGGGGTGTGGCCCAGGAATATGAGCAAGAGAGTGGAGTGCAGAGAAGAATCACCACAGCAGGTGAGACAGCTGTCTGCTGATCAAGGCCTGCCTGCCTGTAAGGTCCGCCTTCAGGTGGCATTTGGGAACCTGGATTTCAGTGGATTTGCCACCACCCTTAACTGATTAGGAGGACTCATTCAGCCTGAACTGCACAAACAACATATCCTAAGATGAATATCTCTGCTTTTCCTGGGAGTCTAGAATTTTGCTACATGCTGGGCAGAGCATGCCTGTATGACCTTCCCCTAATAAAGACCTTGGGTTCTGAGTCTTTGTGAGCTTCCCTGGTAGATAAAACTTCACAATCATTGCTGGGGGAATTTAGTATGTCTCATGGGACTCCACAGGGAGAAGATTCTGGAAACACAATCCAGGTGTCTTCTAGACTTCATCCCCACACCTTTCCCTTTGCTGAGTGTTATAGTTTGGGTGTGGAATGCCTTCCAAAAGCCCATGTGTTGGAGATCTGGTCCCTAGCCCATGGTACATGGAGACGTGGCGAAACCTTAAGACACGGGGCCCAGTGGGAGGAAAGTTAGGTTATAGGGTGTGTGCCCTTGGAGGAAATGTTGGGATCCTGGTCCTTTCCTGTTTCTCTCTTCACTCCCTGACTCTTATGTAGTGAGCAATTTCCTCTACCTTATGCTCCCACCATGATGTGCTACCTCACTACAGGTCCAAAGGCAATGAGGCCAACTCACTTTGGACTGAAACTTTTGAAACTATGAGCCAAAATAAACTCTTCCTCTTTGCAAGTTGATTATCTCAGGTATTTTGTCACAGAGATGTAAAGCTGACTAATACACTGATATTGCTCTGTATCCACTTGGTGAATGGATACATCAATAGGCCAAAATCCTTGAGTCTTCTTAGAGACTCTACTTAGGGTGGTCTTGGGGATCCCCAACATTGGTGGGTAGATGAAAGAGGATGGAGAGGTTTGAGGGGGGAGTGAATTCAGACTGTGTCCACAAAGGATGAGGAAACAAAGTCCAATTCTGAAGCCTCACAAACCAGATGCCTGGCTCCTGTCAGAATCAAAGTTGCTCATCAAGTTCTGATCACTTGTAAGACTCTTCAGAAGGGAGATGGGGGTGGGGACACAAAGATCAGTGGGACAAAGCACAGGCCTAGACATGGAGACAGACATGAGAGGAGGAAGTTGAGTCCATTATCCACCCTGGGACCTGCCAAGGGCCTCAGTAGCTGGGCAAGGCAACATGATGCTCGGGTTAGGAGTGAGCCTCAGCATGAGTCATATAAAGGGGTTATTTCAGCTCCAAGATATGCCCTGCTGCTTCCTCTGCCCCCAAATTCTAGGAACCCCATGAATGGGGAATCAGGGGAGGAACTCAGGGCTCCCAGCTGGTTTTCCCACCCACTCCTGGCCTCTTAACCCCTCAGGAAGTGACACATAGCTCATCTGCTACCTACCAAGCTTATCTTTGTTCATTTCAGCAGGCTGGTATAGATAGTAGTAGATAGTATTAATAGTTTGGAATTTTCCCTAAAGGCCCATTATTCTCTAGCCCATAGCACTCTTGGGAGGGTGATGGAACCCTGGAGGTGGGGCCTAGTGGGAGGAAGTTAGGTCATTGGGGTGTTCCCTTGAGGAGATATTGGGGCCCTGGCTCCTCCTCTGCCTCCTTCATTGTTTCCTGACTTCTATGAAGTAAGCAGCTTCCTCCACCACATGTTCCCACAATGATTTGCTACCTTGCCACAAGCCTAGCAGCAATGAGGCCAACTGACTATAGACTGAAACCTCCAAAACTGTGAGACTTTAATCTTTCCAAGTTGATTATGTCAGCTATTTTGTTACAGTAATGGAAAGCTGATGAACACAGAAAACAAATGAGAAAAACACACTGACATTGGGAACCAGGGTCTCTGCTGTGGGAACAAGGGTATATATGAAATTGGGGATGGTAAGCATTCTATGCTGCCAATAGGAGACATAAGTATAAACCCATGGCTTTTAAAAACATATATACCATCTGGATTTGTGCATTGCCAGGCCCCAGGAGCAATGACACCCTAGAAACAATGAGCACAGCCAATACCCAGGGCTTTTTCCTATATGTCATTATTCATTAAGAGGAGCCATGGTGCCGCGAAGAAATGACTGATTCCAGGTCTGGAGCAGGAAGGCATAAGGTAAAGTGAGAACGTCTTTGTCTCAGAAAGTGTGGAAGTGTTCAACAACTGGAAGGAAGATGCTGAAATGATAATGCAAATTAAAAAAAAAAAAAAGAATCCCAGAGTTCAGAGTAAAAAAAGAGGGAGGGAAAAACAAAATTAGAACACACTTTCTCATAGAACATCAGATAATAAAAATGGAAAGCATGGTATCCTTAGAAAAATCACCATTTTGCGCTTCCAATGTTATCCAAAAAGTCAGGTAAGATCATCGTCACCTGATCCCTCGTGCACCTGGGGACAGTACTTCTACACTTGGACTTTGTTCCCTGGAGTCCCCAAGGTGTGAACTCTGGAGATGGTTTATGTGATTTTTAGACACTGTCTTTCAAACACTCACCTGTGTGTCAGCATTTAAAACTTTAATCCTCTGTGTGGAGATGAAGAGGTCCACTTCCGTCAGTGTCTGCGCATCCCCCTCGGAATTCTAAGAAAGGACAGTGGATGATGTTACCACTGGAAATATTATTCCAGCAGAGCCCTGGTGATTTCATTAATTACCCTGCATCCTGTGGAAGGAAATCGCAATGCCTTGGCCAAGAATCCATAGCTAAGTGAGAGTTTTAAGTTTTAAGGCAGTTTTTAAAAGGCACAGAGAAGAGGGAGAAAGCTGGCTTCTTGGAAGGTCATATAGGAAAGGGACACCTGGGGTCTGTGCAGAAAGCAGGTTGAAAGCTGCTGACCCTTGCTGAGCTCACTGAACTCAGGCTGTGACTTCTTGGATTGGGGATTCCAGCTCTCCTCAGGAAAAGGGGAAGACATTTTCAAAGAAGTTGGATTAAAACATCAGCTTTCCCTTCTCACTTCACCAGCCACAACCAGATGGACCCCCTTGACCTTGCCCTCTGAAAACCATTAGGGGAGTGAGACCAAGAATAGGCCCAGTGCAGCCCTCCAGTGGCAGAAGTGGGGAGAAGTTATCACACCAATGACCCTGGTTTGTCACCTGTGCTGGAATAAGCTCAGGGTTCAGCTGTGAGTCATGTTTCCACGGACTGTTGTGGAAGCTGAGTAAACTACTCAGGTCTGCCCCAAAGCAGGGTAGCCTTTCATCAGTTTTTTTTACACCTGGGAGAGTCCTAATTACTACTGCACGCTGGCAATGAAAAATAGGTCCTGTTGGTTTGCCCACTGGGGTGAATAATTCTGTGCGGTTACTCAGGAGCTTACCGTGGCAGATCTTCCAAACAGCAGAAACTATGGCTTAATTATTCTCCAGAAAATCTCAAGTCAATAATCTCCCTGCTGACAGTTCCTCAGGAATTCTGAGTCACGAAGCTCAGAATTATAATGTATTATAATAATAAATTTGTATTTTAGCTCAGTTTTCAGGGGTAAAGATCTGTGGGGCTTTCAGTCTACCACGGGATGATATTGCTTTTAACTAATTAGAAAGAGAACAGAGTCCTAAACAATCCAGCACCAGGACCATGGAGGAGCTTTTTCTGTTTTAAAAAATTGGGTTATGAGCTGGGGATGTGGCTCAAGTGGTAACGCACTCGCCTGGCATGCACGGGGCACTGGATTGGATCCTCAGCACCACATAAAAAAATAAATAAAAATGAAGAATGTGTCCACCGAAAACTGAAAAATAAATATTAAAAAACATTCTCTCTCTCTCTCTCTCTCTCAAAAAAAAAAATTGGGTTATGTTCAAAATCAATGGGGTTCTAAGAGTTATATTCTTTAATTGTAACTCAAAACTTTCTTGCTCAAAGAGCAGGTCAAAGCCAGAAGTAAATCAGAAAAACTGCAGGTGGTCCTTGTTGTTACTGACAACAGCGGATGCTTGAGATACACCTGAAGTAGACGGGGCTCACGGTGGGTAAATAGATAGAGCCACAATCCTAGCAATTACAGGGAAGCGGACAGTCACCCATCATGCACCCTAGTGAAGAACAAAGGGAGTCCTACAGAGGGACACCAGAGAATAGGGTGGGCCTATTCAGCATGTCCAAAAATGGGGTTCAGCCATTATCAGGTGTTTCATCAGCTGGGGACAGACCAGAAAAGTGGCCCTCAGCAATGACCCTGAGCATCTCACTGCCCTACAAAGAAGAACACATCATAATCCAAAATAACCTGGGGGAGGTGGCCTGGGGGTAGGAAAGATGGTGGAATGTGATGGACATTCTTGCCTTAGGTACGCGTATGACTACACATATGGTTTGACACTACATCGTGTACAATCAGAGAAATAAAAAATTGTGCTGGAATTGTGTACAATGAATCAAAATACATCCTGTTGTCATATATACCTAATTAAAATAAATAAATAAACCAAAAAAAAAAAAAAAGCAACCTGGTTGCTGAGGCCTTTCTGAGCTGGATCTACCTGTGCCCAATCCTTCCAGACACAGTGGCAGGCCCCAGGAACAGGCTGTGGTCCACAAGGACTCCCCTGCTCCCTCCGATTCAAGCCCTTGACATTTCAGGGGTAGAGTGAAAGGCTACAGGCAAGGGGCCCCTCTTCTCTGGAGGAGGCACATCCCAACTGCAGATGTGCAGCTGGGGCCCATTCCACTCTGCCCAGAGGCTCCCAGAGGAGGTCTGTTGGCAGAACACACTTTAGTCCCCAGAAGACTCATTGCAGATGGAAGGGAGTCTGCAGCCACAGAAAATGCTACCACTTCAAAGTGAAGAGGGAGGACTAAATCTCTTGTTTTTTAAGCAGAAAGAAACATTAGCCAACAAGCCAGTGCCAAGTCTCCATGGATTTGCCCTGGACCTTCTGACACTGGGCATTGTGATATTTTCTGTACGAGGACCATGTTTAGAAAAACACCAGCCTTTATTAAATGACTAGGCTGATAAACAAAGGACTAAATGTCAATCCAATTTTTTAAAGTCTGTCCAGACTCCAAAAACTTTTTTTTTTCCTTGTGGCACTGGGAATGGTACTTGAGCATGCTAGGCAGGCCCTCTACCACCGAGCTACACCCCCAGCTAGCTCTCAAAAACGATTTTTCAATAGAAAGGCAGCTCACAGGCAAACTGAGCTACTCATCATCCAGTTTTAGTAAATGAAACTTAATAAATGTAAACATCAGAACAATTTAATTAATGCTGTACAGGAGGCCCAGGTACTAAATACAACGCACTGTCATATCAAATGGCACATTTTAAAAAGTCCACATAGAAGAGGAGCTTCACAGCGTTAGCCATGCTCTAGGATATGGAATAGTTTAAAAAATAAAAAATTCGTCTGTAAGTGGGTGATAAAAAAACAAAAACAAAAATGAAAAACCATAGTGTCTTCAGTTTCATTCAAGCATCTAGGATTGAAGAGAAGAAAGGAAGAGAAAAGGAAGAGAAAAGCTGTTTTGGAAGACTGTTTGGATTCCCACCACAACCCCCCCCCCCATGGTACAGAGCAAGCCATGGTCACACAGCAGACACCACTGTTGCAGGGCCACAATGGTGCTACACACCGCTTTTTTCTTGATCTTAGCAGCCTTTTGCATCCTCTGAGCAGCATGTAAGAGAAAAGAAAAGCAGGTGGGCACAAAGAGAAGGAGGACAAAATTATTTCAGTCTTGTGCTCAACCCCCTAATACTCAGGCCTGGCATCCAGCATAGATCCCCTGCAGGGATAGGGGACAGTCACTGCCTATGTTGAGCACCCAGGCTAATCAACGGAAACCCATATACATGCTCGTCCAGTGCTAGAAATAACTGTCAATCATCCCATCTACAGAGGGTGCAACTGAGGACAGGAGAGATGGAATCAGAGGGCAGGAAAGCAAGCCAGGCTGGGTCAGGAGCAGAGGGTCCAGGTCTCCTGGTTGCTTTGCCTTTTCTTGACCACCAAGGATACCGCATGGCTTCCCTTTCCTTCCAATAAAGGAGGTCAGTGAATGGCAGGGGAAGGGAGGGGCTGACATGCTGGGAGTACAGACCCCACCTTGCCCAGAAGGGGTGCTATCTCAGCCTGCTCATCCCCTCCCTCCTGAGCCCATTTGGTTTTGCTGACATGGCCCCATCTTCCCCTTGTCTAGCTTCACCCACTGTTCCAAACCAGACAATCCTACACTCATCTAGAACGATAGGTAAGTCCGAGTTTTTCTTGAGGTCATGTATTTAAATAAAACATGACTTATTTTCCCTGTTCTGGAAGTACTTTGGGTGAAGCTAAAAATACACACACTGTTGAAATGGGACTTGAAGCTCCAAACATGCTTTCCGACTAGAATGCTACGGAATGGTCATCTTTTAAAAACTGTGCTTCTGAGGGGCTGGGAGGACCATGAACGACTTATTAAGAAGAGAGTGGCCTTTGTGGCCAGTCTAGTATTTGCTCAGCCAATACACAAGTCTCCCTCTGCCTTGCTGGGCACCTGGGCCATTCCCCTTTCTGTGCCAAGGGCAGTGAGTCAGAGCTGGACAGGACACGTGTGTTCCACTGCACTCTTCCACTTCAATGCTCCCCAGAGAAGCCCAGCTGAATGAGCATCCCTTGGGCCTGGGAGCACTCCTACCTTGACCCTGCTGACGGCCTCCTGTGCCTGCATCATTCTGATGTTTTTGGAAGGGTTGCGTTCAGAGAGCAGCTGGGTGGACCCCAGGTAGTTGGCAGCAAAGATGATCCCGTCGATGAGGTCTTCTGGCTCACAGGGCCCTGGAACTGAGCAGGGAGCAAAGTGAGTGTCTTCCAAGAGGAGAAACGCCCCAAACAAGAGCTCACACACCTGGCCACAGCACACAGAGCTCAGCAAGCCAGGACAGGGGTGAAGGAGAAGGACAGAGCCTTCTAGAATCTGCCAGTCTTCTTTCTCGTTATCCCTGGGTGCCTGGTGCAAAAATCAACATGTGGGCCAGAAAACTCTGCGTGAACAGTGTCACAGGACCATTCCAGGATCCCGGGTGACTGTTACTCAAGGAAGCTCAGCCTCCATGGTGACAGGCACATGCCGTAAACTAGAAGGCACTACTTCCCAAACATGTCAGCCCTTTCTGTACCTTCCAGACTTCTCTGGAACTACAGAGGTGACCTGAAAGAGCATGCTCTACTTCCTCCTCTCCTGTGCTGTGGGATTGCTGCTTGCCTGCAGCCTCTCATCCATGATACTTCAGCCAAATGGAGGCGACAGGATCCCAGTTGCCTCTGGACTATGGCGACCCAACAGAACTTCCTGCCACGATGGGATGTTCTGCCTCTGTGTTGTTCAGGGCAGGAGACACTGCACTGTGTGTGCTGAGCACTTGAACTCTGGCTCCTGAAACTGAGGACTGAATCGTTTCCTTGGATTTACGGTTGTCCCTCTGCGTTAGTGGGTTCTACATCTGTAAGGTTCAGATCGCGTATCATGCAGTTAGACATAGGATGGCTGGGCCTGCACTGAACATGTACAGACTCTTTTCTTGTCATTATTCCCTAAATGGTACAAAAATCAACATGTGGGCCAGCATTGACATTATCACAGCATTTACATTGCATCGGGTATTCTAAGTCATCTAGAGATGAGTCAAAGTATACACAAGGGTGTGTATAGGTTCTATGCAAATACCACAACATTACATATAGAGGACTGGGGTATCCATAGATTTTGGTATCCACAGGAGTCCTCTGTGGATACTGAGGTATAACTGTAATTTTAATTAATTAAAATACAAAAAGCCCCATGTTAGCAGCTAGTGGCTCCTGTACAGTGCAGCACAGCTCCAGCGAGGGGTCGGCCAACCTCTTCTATTAAAGGCCAGATGGTAACTATTTTAGGCTCTGTGGTCTCTGTTGTAATGAGTCACTTCTCTACCTGAGGGGCAAAAGCTGTTGTAGACAATATGGAAATGAGTAGGTGCAGTCATTATCTCAGTAAAACTTTATATAAGCAAGCCACGAGGACTGGCCTTGGGGCTGCAGTCAGCAAACCACTGAGCTCCTTTGTACTATCACTGACCTTCCTCTGAGGCCCAGGCTGGCTGCCTTCATCCTGGCAGCACCTCGTGCTTCCTAGTCAGAGGCCTCCCTTTCAGGACCCTGGCTCCTAGTTTCCTCCTCCCACCCTGGCTGCCCTCACACCAGCCACTCCAATGTCCCAGGGCCAGCTATCCTGTACTTCTCTGGCCCTGTCACAAGCACCTTCTCCTGACCTCTCCCTACCCTCGGCCAGCTGCCCAGTGGTCTTACCTCCAACTCTCTCTGTGGATTGAAACTATCACCCCACACCCCGCCCCACAATTAGGATGCCAAAGTCCACCACCTCAATAACATCTGCCTGACACTCTCACCTTGCACAGTCTGTCTGCCCAGGGTTTGGCGAAACTCTGATCTGTTTTCTTTGGACTAGTGGCTGGTAAAAAGCTATCCCATGGGGGCATATTGCTACCATGATACATTTATCATAAAGTTGTTCCCCTAAAGCCCTTGAAACTCCTCAACAGTTCTGACACCTTTCTCTAGAAAGCAGAGCCTCACCCCAGGCACCAGCAACGTCCTACCTCCCTCTGTCTGTCTGAATTTCGGCTGCATTTCCCTCACCTGCTCCTTTGCCACATGGCCGAAGTCTGAACCTCTCCTTCTGGGTTTTCCGTTCAGCAGTGAGGTCTCCCCCTGGGGACTGAGGACCTCCTATAAGCCCATTCCTCTGTTCCTACAGCAACCTTTTGTCCCTCGGGCACTTAACCAAGTCTTATCATTTGGGCCTCCCCACAGTTTTGAAACATCCTCCAGTTTCCCCAAGTAAATTTAAAAAGGCAAAAAACAAAAACCTTCACCAGTGTCTCTCGTGGCCCTCCTCTCTCCTGCCTTTCAAAGCCAAAAGCCTAGAAAGAAATGCCTCCTCCCTGGTGCACCCCAGCCTGGCCATTGTCCTTACCACCCCATGGACACCATGTTTGCTAACAATGCCCAATACCTCGGGGCCAGCACATCCCGTGGGCCCTTCTGAAGTCACACCAGGACTCTCCCCGTGGAGTATGCCCCATTGGATCTGGGACAATCTAGGGGCAATTACCCTGCCCCCACCAAGTTCATAACTAGAGATCCTCACCCCAAGGCAACGGTATTAGGAGGTGGGGGCTTTGGGAGGCAATTAGACCAAGAGGGTGGGGCCCTCACAACTGGGATCCGTGCCTTCTAGGAGAGAGTCCCAGGGAACTCTCCTGCTCTGCCTGCCCTGTGAGAACACAAATGAAAGGCAATGATAATTCACAGCCTTGAAGGTGGCTTTCACCGAAGCCACACCATCCGGGCACTCTGACCTTGAACTCTGAGCCTCCAGACTGTGAGAAACACATTTCTGTTATCTAAAAGCCACTCAGTCTCTAGTGCTTTGTTGAAGCAGCAAGAACTGAAAAGTGAATCGACTTCCCCCTGAATTCTGAATACTCTTTTGGACTAGAAACCAGATCCTTCATTCACCCACTGCTCCAAGCCTCTTGGGTCCTCCATTGGAAAGTTGATGTCCCTAAGCCTCAAAACCCAGTTTCCTTGATTGGAGGTGAGTACCCAAGGCAGGTCAGGAAAACTTTTCCCTGTCACCCCAACATCAGAGACTCCAGAGCTTGGAATACTGAGTTCTTGCTCACAACCTCAACCAGGCTGTGTGGGTGCTTCACTCTCAGCAAGTGGCCAGAGTGAGACGGTTGTCAGTCACCCTGAAGTGACCCGAGAGGTGAACTTGAGGCCCCACTGGCACCAGACTGACACTGGATTCTGCCTCCATAGACTAAACAATCCTCTGAGACTTTGGTTCTCCTAAAATTCTGGGAGAAAATGGCACATACCTTTGGGGACACCTGGAAAGAGACCTGTATGTTATACTTTCACATTGCAAAGCTCGGCACTGGATTTTAAGAACTGTCTAAAAGGTCTATACCCAGGGGCTCATGTATCAGGCTGAAATACCAGGAAACCACAGATGCACAAAGGCAAACACAGATTCTCACATGGAACCCTCAAAACTTCATCCTAAAGCCCCCAAAGGCTGTTCCCCCACCCCTAACGGTACTCAAGTTGCCTCTCAAGGGATTTTTCAATAACCTGGGGGCCTCTGCAAGACCCTCACCAGGACTGAGCTGAAGACCCTTCCAGCCTGGCCTACAGAAGTCGTTGATCTCTCTGGGCCTCCCTGGCCCTCCTCAGTGGATGGACACTCCAGCGGCTCTTGGATGCACAGTGGTTAGTAATGGTTTTGGCGGCAGGTACTTTAAAGCACGAAAGCAACATAGTGCTGTTACCGTAAGCCCAAACGTGGGCTAGAGAGCAACTCTCATAGATTCAAACATAGTGTTGAGACCTGAGAGGCAGGTAACCCTGGTATCTAGGGGCCCAGAGCCCTGGTCCAGGGTGCTGACCATGCTCCATGAGCTGACTTCTTCAGCCCTTGTGGGGGAGTGTGAAGGAGCACCCCACAGTGGTGACACCTCTCAAAGAAAGTCCTACAAGAGCTAACCAAGAGAGGGGCTCAACTTCTGAGCCTGCAACCCCCCAGGCCTCCTGATCCTAGGACCTATTCACCCTGGGTCCAGGACACTTGCTCCAGGAGTACATCAGGGACTAAGGGGACAGGGCAAAGACCCTGCACAGCTTTAGAACAGGCTCAGAGAAAGGCTCACCGAGTCCCGGGATTGATATAGGCTTTTTTTTTAATACTGCAAGAAAGACTGGGGAACTGTGCCAGGTTGGGTGGGGTAAGGAGGGGAATGAATCTGTGCCTCCACCCTAGTCTGTCACCATTTTAGAAGCAAATAAGGCAGAAATCTTCCAAGTCCAGCCCCTCTGAAAGGCACAGGCCTAGGCTTGCTTTCTCAGGCTGCTGCCCAGGGACACTGGCCCCCACAGGCTTGGCAGATCTCTGCAGAGCTCCAAGGCCAGGCTCAAATCAGGCTCTTTCTTCTACCTCAGGCACTTTGGTCCTCGCTCTGGAACATACAACTCTCCCTGCCCAGCTGGGCAGGCGGCTTCAGGGCTTATAGGGGTGGTGCCAGGGGAGAAACCCTGCCCATCTACCCACTAGCAGCAGTGGTTTGTACTCCAAGGGCACCTGTGAGGGGGAAGCAGAGGCCACCCGAATAGAGGGAACAGAGTTCCAAGCAGCACCCTCCACCCTGACCTCCAGGACCTTGGACTATGGGTCCCCAGTTTTTACTACGTGTCACCTTGCCCTTGGGCTTTGTTCTCCCCAGTGCACATGGTTGGGAGCATTCATCATGTGTTTAGGGAATCACAGTGATGCCCACGACCTCTAGAGGGACCTGAGGCAATGACAGTTACTGACCAAAAGATGGTGTCCCTTTGTCCTACAAGAAGGTGCTGGTCCTCCCAGCCTCCCTGGGGTGCCCTGGGCATCACACCCTCAATCAGCATCGGGGGCTTGTTCTGAACAAGTGAGCTCAGGTCCTATGTATGCACGGCACCCTGAGGACCCCAATCCCTGAGGAGAGGTGGGACAGGCCTTGCCTTTTGAATCAACTCCCAATGCCTTCTGACTCCTCCCTGGCCGGTTCCCACTGGGACCGTGGAAGCTCTCTGGATCTTGCTGAGTTTCATGCTCCTGTTTGAACATGGACTCATGTTCCTGAGTACATTTATGAAGGACTGGCTCCCTCTCCCCCTGGAGTGTGCCCATCTGATCTGGGACAGTCTGGGGGTGAATACTCCTGTGTGGGAAGAGCAGCTAGACA